TTTAAGTACAGATGGTGTTTCACCGTGTTGGCCAGGCTGGTTTCGAGCTCCTGACCTCAAGGGATCCACCTGCCTCAGCCTCCCACAGTGCTAGGATTATAGGCCTGAGTCACCATGCCCGGTCTCCCAACAACTTTTCACCCACCCCACCCCTACTTTCCTCCCTCTCCAAGCAAAATGAGCCCCTTGAAGTTCCCAGAACCTCCCAGGATCACCATCATTTGCACCTCTCCCTAAAAAGCTTTCCCCTCATTTTTAATTTATTATTACTATTATTAGTGAGTCTCACTCTGTCATCCAGGCTGGGGTGCAGTGGCACAATCTCAGCTCACTGCAATCTCTGCCTCCCAGGTTCAAGTGATTCTCATGTCTCAACCTCCCAAGTAGCTGGGTTTACAGGCATTTGCCACCATGCCTGGCTAATTTTTGTATTTTTAGCAGAGATGAGATTTCACCATGTTGGCCAGGTCGGTCTCAAACTCCTGACCTCAAGTGATCTGCCCGCCTCGGCCTCCCAAAGTGCTAGGATTACAGGTGTGAGCCACCGCGCCTGGCCTGGTTGGTTTTTAGAGATGAGGTCTCATTCTGTTGCCTAGGCTGGAGTGCAGTGGTGCAATCATAGTTCACCACAGCCTCCACCTCCTGGGCTCAAGCAGTCCTCCCACCTCAGCCTCCTGAGTAGCTGGGACTACAGTTGTGTGCCACCATGCAGAGCTAATTTTTTTCTTTTTTTTTTCTTTGTAGAGAGGAAGGTCTCACTATATTGTGCAGGCTGATCTCGAGTTCCTGGCCTGAAGCAATTCTCCGGCCTCAGCCTTCCTGGCTTTCAAACTTCAAAATCTTCCTTGGAGATCCTGAATCTTAATTTATGAGCATTAAAAAAAAGTCTAAGGGCCAGGTGCGGTGGCTCACGCCTGTAATCCCAGCACTTTGGGAGGCCGAGGCGGGCGGATCATGAGGTCAGGAGATCGAGACCATCCTGGCCAACATGGGGAAACCCCATTTCTACTAAAACTACAAAAATTAGCTGGGCATGGTGGCTGGCACCTGTATTCCCAGCTTCTTGAGAGACTGAGGCAGGAGAATCGCTTGAACCTGGGAGTCAGAGGTTACAGTAAGCCCAGATCACCACCACTGCATCCCAGCCTGGCGACAGAGCGAGACTCCGTCTCAAAAAAAAAAACAAGAAAAGTCTAAGCTCTAAAGGACTCCAGACAAAAATCTGGTGATAGTAGGTGCTAGGAGATAGGGGCAGAGAGGAATGGGGAGTTGATTAATGAGTACAGAGTTTCAGTTTTGCAAGATGAAAAAGTTCTGGAGACGGATGGTGGTGGTGGTTGCACAACAGTGTGAATGTACTTAACACTATTGAACACTTAAAAATGGTTAAGATTGGCCAGGTGCAGTGGCTCACGCCTGTCATCCCAGCACTTTGGGAGGTTGAGGAGGGTGGATCACGAGGTCAGGAGTTCGAGACCA